TGTCCGGTTTTCCCACAGTTGTAGCAGTTTCCACTGAACCGTTTCTTGCTTGGGTTGTATTTCAGACCAGAAGCCTTCTTTCTCCTTTTGTTATCTTCAACAATATTTTCTCCCATTATTGTTGAATTTCCACGGCCTCTCCTTTCAGCAGCTTTATTGTCCTCTTCGATTCTCAANATCGAACAATGAGATCTTCAAGGGACATCTCCTTTCGTTTGTGTTTCAAATAATTTTTAAAGTCCTTCCACAATGGAGGCAACTTCTCAATTATTGCTGCTACTTGGAATGCCTCATTGATGACAAGACCTTCAATGAAAATTCCGTCAGTAAAATTACTAAAATTTTTACTTTCAACATTAACATTCATTTGAAATATACCTTCAGCAAGTAGATCATGAATAATCACTTGTAACTCCTGGACTTGGGTAATAACAGACTTGCTATCTACCATTTTGTAGTCCAAAAATTATGCAGCGATGAATTTCTTCATCCCGGCATCTTCAGTTTTGTATTTCTTTTCAAGCGCATTCCACAATTCTTTTGACGTCTCCACGCCACTGTATACATTATACAGATTATCCTCCAGTCCGCTAAGAATATAATTCCTGCACAAGAAGTCAGAATGCTTCCACGCCTCAATCATGAGAAAGCTATCATTCTCTGGAGTTTCATCTGGAAGATCAGGAACATCTTCCTTGATGAACTTCTGTAGACATAACGTAGTCAAGTAGAAGAACATCTTTTGCTGCCAGCGGTTGAAATCCATCCCGAAAATTTTTTCGGGTTTCTCTGCCGGTGCCAACGCCGGAGTTTAAGCACAAAAAGTACAAAAATAAGCCAAAAGCTAGATATTAACAACTTATGACTTTTAGCTTTTAGCTTAAAAACTATTTTTTATAAGCCAATCCAAACACCCTCTAACTCTTATTTTCCTTGTCTCTGTTGAGAATTAAATTCACAAAGCGTTACCATTCTTTTTTTTTTTGGGTTCTCCTTAAAACCATTTCTGATATTTCAAGTGACTCTCTTTGATGGGTTTTCTATTTTCAAACTAATGCAAAATTGCAAGTCATAAATGTCATAGCTGCTGAAGCAAGGTATATATAAAGAGATAAATTAAAAGATTAAATAATAAAATAATAATAAAAAGGTGATGAATATTAATGGAGGAGATGAATAATGTACCCTATATTTGAAGGAATACTATTCATCCCCATTTTGGAGAGAAAAATAAAGGAGGGTTGAAGCTAAATTACCCCAAAAATTGATCCCATTACGGGGATGGGTGTAAGATTGGAAATGGCGTTAGAGGTTGAAGCTTTTCCTACTCCAAATATGTTAAAGTTAAGTTTTTCCTTCATTTTGCATGAGCGGAGTGCTGACCATTCAAGAAGCAAAAATAAAAATGGTGAGATGTGTGGGCACAACGGGATAAATAAGAGTATAAGACTAGGAAGTAAAATATTGGGGACAAGGTAAGCATGGCCCCCATAGAAGACAAGATGTTGGAAGCGAAGCTTAGATGGTTTGGGCATGTGAAGAGGAGGGGTACAAATACCCCATTAAGGAGGTGTGGGAGGTTGGCTTTGGTGGATCTGAGGAGAGGTAGAGATGGGCCAAAGAGATATTGTGGAGAAGTGATTAGGTAGAACATGGAGACATGACGCTGCTCCAGCTTACTACGTGTTGTTTCTTTCGCTTCAGTATCTTGTTATCTTGCTGGCGTTGTTGCTGATAAAAGGAAACTGCCAATAATAAATGAATTATAATGTACAAGCAGATATGCTAGGAAATGACAATGCAACTTGTACAACTAGTCTATAACCAAGCACTTGATCCAAATCTGGAATAACTAAAGTTTTGGTTTTTCCTACAGCTAAACAAAGGCTTTCCTGGAACAGGTACGCACTTTATGAGCCAACTAACTGGCCATGACAGAGCAGCTATCCCAATGCACACTTTCCACTGCTGCCAATTCAACCTCTCTGTACATGCAAACTTCTTCAGCATTTCTACCATTGCAACCTGGATAAGGACTATCATTCCCACTATCCCCCAAAATAACCTCTTTGTTCTTAGCTCCCCCAGGAGATCTCCTTCATACTTTCTCATGTTGAATATGTTGAAGAGTTGACAAAGCACAAAGATGTTGAATATCATGGTGTCTTTTTCCTTGTCACTTAATTGGTATGTTGATTCACCTGTGAATTGTATGGTCAGCAAAACCGAGATCAGGTACAGAGCTTGGCCCACTATATTCTTCCACATAATATTGGTTATAAATGGCTCATTTTGGTAAGTTGGTGGCTGTTGCATGAGCTTTGTTCCAGGCTTATCTATAGTGAGAGCCAGAGCTGCTAATGTGCCCACCATCAGCTTTACCCAAAGTACCTGAAGCATTGCATAGGGAACTTTGCCTGCTGAAATTACTGTGACAATGTTGATGGTCACGGGCTCGCTAGCTGAAATTGCTGTCACAAAGTCTATCACCAAAGCAGCAATAGTTGCTGTTAGTTGGAATTGTGTGAATACCTGAACATTGTTATATGTGGTTCTTCCCCAACTTAGAACTCTGGCTACGGAAGCAAAGTTATCATCCATGATGACAATATCTGAGCTGTCCCTCGCGGTATCAGTTCCTTGATTACCCAGTGAAATCCCCACATTGGCTTCTCTAAGTGCTTCTGCATCACCCACACTTTCTCCAGTAACTGCAACAACATGACCATTCTTTTGCAAGCATCGCACTATCAGAAGCTTGTCCAATGTTGAGGCTCTTGCGATCACCCGAATGTTTTCAACTCTCTCCATTCTTTCATCTTCAGCATATTCTTGGAATTCATTTCCTTCTATGACTTCTCCAGTGGATATGTCATGATTAGGCTCAAGTATACCACAATCGACAGCTGATGCACGAGCTGTGTGGATATCATCCTTTGTAATGATTTTGATGTTCACACCAGCATTTTGGCAGTTCATCACAGCTTTCCTTGCTTGTGCTCTACATGGAGCTTTCAGACCTACAAATGCTAATAAGATCCAATCATCTTCTTTGATCTTGGGATGGAAATGACCTTCACAATCAATCGGATGTTCTTCTGGCACACTTCTATATGCAAAAGCAACACAGTGCAGACCATCCCTTTTCATCGTTGTAACTGTTTGCTGCAAAGTTGCTCTAGCATCATCATTTATATCTTTGATATCCCCTGTCTCCTTATAGTAACGTGAACACATGCTCAGTATTGCCTCTGGAGTTCCTTTGTGGTGCATATGGACTCTGCTGTCAGCATTCCTCCTGATCAAAACACGCCCTTGGTATTCTGAGGAGAAGCTTTCGCCGTAGACAACTGTACGGTTGTTTTTCAGTTGTTCTACATCCATCTTCATGCTTTTGATGCCCCAGGCCAAAATTGCATTTTGAATTTGCTCCTCAATGTGTTCAAATGAAGTTCCTGGTTGGCTCTTGGTATTATTCAGAGCCATTCCCTCATGAAGCAGATCAAGAATTTCTGGTGCGAATGAGGAGAAAGTACTTTTTCCAATATATTTTTGGCCTAGCCAAAATTGGCTGACCTGCAGAGAGCTTTCAGTCAGTACGCCTTCCTTATTCGTACAAATCACTGTTGCGGAGGCCATTGCTTCACAAGCTGAAAGACTTCTGACAAGTGCCTGATCAGCGATCATCTTCTTGGTTGAGTAAGCTATAGTTAACGCACAAGCTAGTGTCAAACCTTCTGGAATGGCTCCCGATGAAATTGCTACTGGAGTTGCTAGAATTCCAATAACGGCTTTCCATACATCTTGTATGCTCGTTTTACCTCCACTGAACAACTTTCTGCCATTGTTTCGCATATTCCCTGAGAAATAACGGACCAACAGCACTATGAGAATAAATGAACTGATTGCCAGACCAACCTTTGCTATATGTGAAGTCAATTTGTGCAATTTCTTTTGCAAAGGTGATTTATGATCATGATTGAAGCAAGTTGGAGTTATGATTTCTGCCAATGCTGTATTCATGCCCACTGCTGTGACAAGCATTCGACCATTACCCCTCAAGACTTTGCTACCGGATAGCAAGAATACGTTGCTGCTATTGTTGACCTCCACATGGTCATTTTTCCTTGTTATGGTTGATTCATCAATTTGCAGGGAATTCTGATCTATGTAGAGCCCATCAGCAGGCACCTGATCTCCAGCTCTCAAGCCAATGACATCTCCGACAACTGCTGCAGATAATGAGATATGCGTGTCCTTCCCGTTTCTAATCACAAGAATGGGGACAGCTTCAATAGGCCTGCAAAGTTCATAAAGTTGCCGTTTATGCCAGTAGTTACAAGAAGCTGAGAGACTGATGACAAGAAACAAGGCAACTAATATGCTTCCCCCATCAAAGCATCCTTCCAACCCCTGCTTTTTGACGCCAAAACCAAGGGATAGAACAGCATATAGTAGTAAAATGATGATGTTGGGATCTTTGAGGCTCTTCAACAGCATTTGCAATAGATTTATTGGTGGCTTCTTAAATGTGTTGGTCCCAAAATGTTTGCGTCGGGAAGCAATGTCCTTACCATCACCTAGTATTCCCTTTTCAGGATTTGATTTGAGAGTAGAAAGCAATCCTTCCACCCCATCAAGCTGATCGAGCTTTTCAACGTCTCTCAATCGAACGAGTTTTGCCAAGGTCGGCTTGCTGATGCTCGAAAAACATTCTGGTTCGATATCAACTGCTGTATAAGATCGAGAGCGTGAAAAGTTGCTCAAGAGCTCAGTCTTGTTTTCAGCAACAATCGTCTTGGCAGAAGATAGAATTGCTCTGGCAGTATAGAGAATTTTAAAGGCCCAGTGCCATCTCTTCCTGGCGGGGGAGCGTAAAGTAGGTACTGTTAACTGCACTTGCAAGATGTCACACATGATTTTGGTATAATATCCAAATGGGTGACTGAAGATGTTGTTTCTAGTTTGAGAATCTGGTGAGCTTAAAATATTCTTGAAATGTATATTTTTGAAGAGGAAAAAATGGATTCTGTTGCTGCATCGAATATCCGATTATATAGTACGAAGTTCATGGTAAAAATTAAACCGTGGCTGCACCGTGTACCGTAGAGACAGTATGCTAAGAGTGAGGAGTGAATGAGTGATATACTTTTGGAAGTTGCAATGAAAGTTAAGGTCACTAAAGATCTTACTTTTGGAAGTTGCAATGAAAGTTAAGGTCACTAAAGATCTTTGTTTTTGCATGCTTGTCTTTTTGTTCATGACTTGAGCAGTGGTCTTTGTTTAAAGCTAACTACAGTATTGGATACCAGCTTAGCGATAATTGTATTATATCAGAAAATGGAAACGATTGAATTATCATGAATTCAAGAGGTTACTTTGTACTATATAATCGGATGTTTGGAAAACATGCACGTAGTTAACGAAGTTCCTATAATTGATAATTAGCGATGTAAAGTATTTTTACATTAACACTAAAAATAGCAAGTCATTTTTTTTACATATAGATAATTAATTTACTAATATTTATTATAGAAATTTACTTCTAATTACTTTAAATGATCTAATTGCATAAATATATTATAATATCCATGCATCTAACTTATTGATGTACTACATATAGTCTAAGGGGTGGCAAAATGGTTAAAAGAAAATAGTTAATCATCTATAGTATCCACTAAAGAATATGTTAGATGATAAATTTTTTAAAAACGGACAAGAACCAAATTACTATTATTTGTGATTCTGATGGAGTTGTTGTATTTACACTAAAACTTGGTTTGATGTTCGCTAGAAACACATATTCCGTGCATGCGTGATATATAGGCAACATTGATATGACTTTTAATGTGTCTTGAAAAACAATTTATTTTATTATTTAAACAACAAAAATATCCTTAAACTATTGGAAAAGGTTTAAAAATACCCTTCATTTAACTATTAGGCTAAAAATACCCCTTCATCCACTTTTTTGGTTCACGTATGCCCTTTGACCATTAGGTCAATGCTAAATTAAAAATAATTTTTATTCTTTTTGTAAAACTTTAAAAAAATATTTTGCAAAATATTTTCGTTTTTTTAAACTAATGCACCAATAGCCCACTAATTTAGTAAAGTCTTTTAATTTTTTTCCTCAGTTTTTACAAAAAACAATTTAGTTTTTACAAATAATATTTTTTTCAGTTTTTTAAAGAACCTTTTTTTTTGTAAAAACTGATTTTTTTTTTGTAAAAACAGGAAAAAAATGTTTTTAATAAAATATTTTCATTTTTTAAAACTAAAAAAAATATTTTCAACAAAATATTTTCGTTTTTTAAATATATATATTTTTTCCAGTTTTTTGAAGCATTTTGTTTTATTTTCAGTTTTCAGTTTTTTTTAAAGATTTTTTTTTAAAAAAACTGAAAAATTAAAAAAAAATATTTTTCAAAAACGAAAATATTTTGTTGAAAATATTTTTTCCAGTTTTTAAAAAATGAAAATATTTTATTAAAAACATTTTTTTTTGTTTTTACAACTTTTTTTCAGTTTTTACAAAAAGAATGTTTTTAAAAAAACTGAAAAAATAAAAAGAAAAATATTTTTTTTGTAAAAATTGAATTGTTTCTTATAAAAACTGAAAAAAGAAGAAGAAGACGACTTTACTAAATTAGTGGACTACTGGTGCATTAGTTTAAAGAAACGAAATTTTTTTGTAAAATATTTTTTTTAAGTTTTACAAAAAGAATAATAATTATTTTTAATTTAGCATTGACCAAACGGTCAAATGGTATAAGTAAACCAAAAAGGTGGATGAAGGGGTATTTTTAGCTCAATAGGTGGATGCATGGTATTTTTAAACCTTTTCCAATAGTTTAGGGGCATTTTGAACCCTTTCTCGTTTAAACAAAATGAATATGAATAGAGCAAAATGAATATAGATGATTCATATAGACGACTTTAACTAGTTTGAGATTAAGACACGGTCAACAAAGTTCCCACGTATTGATTATATGTCACGACCCAAAACCGACCCGATTGTGATAGTGTCTATCGTGAAAGAAGGCCAGCAGACACAATCCCAAATCAAACCAATATTTCATAAAAGGAACGTTTAAGCTATTAATCAATAACATTTCATAACATGAGTCTAAATAACAAGTGCAGAAAGAAAACACAAGCCGTCATCGGGGTGTCACTAGTCACGAGCATCTACTAAGGTCTGAATACAACGAAGACTACTACAGTTTGGAAAATACTAAAACAATCTAAGGAAGATGAGAGGGAGAAGAGCAAGGCTGTGAACGCCAAGTAGCTACCTTGCTAACTTTGATGGACCTGCCATTGAGTAATCAACACCCGCTACCGGGTTCAGAAATACCTGAATCTGCACAAAAGGTGTAGGGAGTAATGTGAGTACGCCAACTAAGTAAGTAATAAAAGTAAATAAAGACTGAGCAGTAAGAAAATACATAATCCACGTCATAACACTACGATAATTACATGATATTCCTAAAACAGTATATAATCAAGTCATCTTGTCAAAAATCCAATTTCAGTGAAAATCCTTTAAAATATGTCTTTCTAACAGTTTCAACAGAGATTCAATGAAGTTTAAAATAAAAATGATGAAAGTCATAAATAGCCCCTCGGCAATACATGTATCATAAACCCCCCATAGGTATAACATCAATCAAAACCAGCCCCTCGGGCTACCTCACAATCACTCGTAATCAGCCCCTCGGGCAACATTATATCACTCATTCAGGGTACCCGAGATCACCGGGGGTGTTCAGAATCCGAAAGGGCTCCTACAGCCCAAGCGCTATATTGCTGCGGCGTGCAGCCCGATCCAATATCACTGCGGCGTGCAACCCGATCCACACATCGCTATGGCGTGCAACCCGATCCGTATATCGCTGCGGTGTGCAGCCCAATCCATATACATATATATCGCTGCGACGTGCAGCCTAATTCATAATATCCTCACAACGCAGGTCCTCGGCCTCACTCAATCAGAAACTTCTCAAGCCACTCATGCTATCAGTAAAACAGGGTGCTCAGCCCAAAATATCATTTTATGCATCATCACAGAGTAATAAATACTGAGTTATAAAATCAGTAAAATATAACATGAATAAGTACAAATCTTAAGTCAAAACAGTAAGGAAATAATAAGAAAGTCCCCTAAGGGTCCAAACAGCTTGGCACGAGGCCTAAATATAGCATTCAACCCAAAACATAGTAATACTTTTCAAAGCACAATAGTATCAAATAGTGTTCAGTCAAATATGCGACTTAATAGTCATACGAGACGGACCAAGTCACGATTCCCAGTGGTGCACACCCCCACGCTCATCATCTAGCGGGTGTGTCACCTCAAAGCAGTGAAACGATGTAAAATCAGGGATTTCATACCATCAAGACAAGATTTACAGCCATTACTTACCTCAAACCGTACAAAACTCTAACTCGCGATGCCCTTGCCTCTTGGCTCGGCCTCCAAATGCTCCAAATCTAACCAAAATCAGTATCACATCATTAATACATGCTAAAGGAATAAAGCCCATTCGAAAATTATCAAATTAACTCAAAAATCCCGAAATAGGCCAAATTCGACCCCCGGTCCCACGTCTCGGAATCCAACAAAAATCATAAAACCAGAATCCTTATCCTCCCACGAGTCCATACATACCAAATTTACGAAAATCCGACTTCATTTGGTCACTCAAATTATTAAAAATCCACTCTTAAATTTCAAGACTTAAATTCCCAAATTTCTAGTCCAATTTCTCAATTAGATGATGAATAAGATCATAGATTCATGAAATTTAAACCATTATAGGTTAGAATCACTTACCCCAATGTTGCTCCTTCAAATCCCTTGAAAAATCGCCACTCTCTCGAGTTTTTTAAGCCCAAAATCAAAAAATAAAGAACAAACCTCGAGCTGGGGGTTTTCTGTCTAGCAAAAACCGCAATTGCGGTCCAATACCCGCTTCTGCGGCACTGCACCTGCAGAATTTCCATCGCAGGTGCGGAACCCACTTAATGAACCACTTTCCGCATCTGCGGTCAAACCATCGCACCTACGACTCATCTTCCGCTTCTGCAGAATGGACAAAACTCCACAGCATCCGCATCTGCGGCTCTGAGCTCGCACATGTGACCTCGCACCTGCGGTCCCCAATCCGCAGGTGTGGAAATGATAGAAGCAGCAAAATCAGCAGCATCAACTCAAAGCCAAACTTTCAGTCAACCACCCAAATCCGTCCCAAGGCCTTCAGGACCTCAGCCAAACATGCCAACAAGTCACATATCGCCATTCAAACCTATTCCACCCTTCGGGCACTCAAAACAACATCAAAATACCCAATCACCCTCGGATTCAAGCTTAAGGATTTTCAAACATCCGAATTCCGCAAACGATACCAAAACCTATCAAACCTCATCCGAATGACATGAAATTTTGCACACACATCACAATTGACACTATAGACCTACTTCAATTTCGAGAATTCCATTCCAACCCCGACATCAAAATTTCTACTACCGACAGGGAAACGCCAAATTTCTGATTTCGTCAATTCAAGCCTAATTCTACCATAGACCTCCAAATCACATTCCGGACGCGCTCCTAAGACCAAAATCACCTAACGGAGCTAACCAACAACAACAACAACAACCCAGTATAATCCCACTTAGTGGGGTCTGGGGAGGGTAGTGTGTACGCAGACCTTACCCCTACCCTAGGGTAGAGAGACTGTTTCCAAATAGACCCCCGACATCCTTCCCTCCAAGAACTTCCCACCTTGCTCTTGGGGAGACTCGAACTCACAACCTCTCGGTTGGAAGTGGGGGTTGCTTACCATCAGAGCAACCCCTCTTGTCTACTTATGAGAATAGTGCAAAAATAAAATTATCACTACGAGAATTGA